AAATGATTAGGGGTTTGGAACGGGTCCCATATGAGGAGAGATTAAAGAGGCTAGGACTCTTCAGCTTGGAAAAGAGGAGACTAAGGGGGGATATGATAGAGGTATATAAAATCATGAGTGATGTGGAGAAAGTGGATAAGGAAAAGTTATTTACTTATTCCCATAACACAAGAACTAGGGGTCATCAAATGAAATTAATAGGCAGCAGGTTTAAAACAAATAAAAGGAAGTTCTTCTTTACGCAGCGCACAGTCAACTTGTGGAACTCCTTACCTGAGGAGGTTGTGAAGGCTAGGACTATAACAGAGTTTAAAAGAGAACTGGATAAATTCATGGTGGTTAAGTCCATTAATGGCTATTAGCCAGGACAGGTAAGGAATGGTGTCCCTAGCCTCTGTCTGTCAGAGGGTGAAGATGGATGGCAGGAGAGAGATCACTTGATCACACAGCTACACATACCCTATACATTGCAACCACCACTGGTGTGCAGTGTAGACATAACCTCTAAGTCTGTTTTGTTCTGCACTGCACCGCCAGTGGTATCTGACCCTAAAGTCAGCTTCACCAATCCAGGGAGGATCATTCCACTGAAATGATGATCATCTCATGGTGAGGAGCAGTCATTAGGGCTCTTGCACCACTGTGGCAAGTGTAGGGAAAAAGGGGCATGATTGGCGGAAAGGCTATGTGGTGGGGACACTCCTATATCATGCCAATCCTTGGCTACGTTTATGGCTCTTTTGGGTAAATTAGAGCAGCCTTAAGATTGCATGATTCCCACACAACCCTCCGGTGGGATTTAAGTGGTATGGAGGGCTGTGGCGAATTTCATACTACATATTATGTTTCAAATTAACTTGAATATAAATATTTTTTTCTCTACATGCAGTGCTTGATATTTTTTTCTTAGCTAAACACAAACTGCATTTATTACCACAATAATCTAGAGTTCTGCAATGTCTAGAATTCAGGTGTATATAGTTTCTAAGAAGATTAACCTATATTACTTTACAGTGATATCTTTGGTCCTGTTACTTCAACAACACAGAGGAACACATCTGTCATTATGTACTCAGTAATAGCTCATATATAGCTTTGAACATTAGAATACTTTTTATTGAGATATAACATGGTCTAAAAACACAAGGATTGTAACTTACTGCTTTAGAAAAGTGACATGTGCATTAAATTTGGACAACTGCTGGAGTTAGGTGGAAAGGTGAAGTTTGTTAATAAGACATTAATGTGAAAACACTAATCTCTTAAAGAGATGTGGGCTCAGATTAGTGGTAAGAAAAGTCATTTTAGTGTGTACTTTAATTTTTTCCATAAGTTTATCAAAGAAACTAGAATAGAAAAGAAATTAGTCTTGTTTTTGTTTTCTTTTTTAGATTCAAATAAACAAGATTTATTTCACAGCAACAGATAGTGAAAATACTTTGCATATGTACAGTCTTGTTTCAAGAAAGAATGTACTTATTTAAATGATCAGTGGAGAAATATCACTAATAGCAAATTCAGTGTTTATCTTTCTCATGGGAATCTGTTGCTTGAGCTTTTCCACTGTTTCAAATTCTCAGAGGCAGGCAAGACGTTGCGCTCCTTTTTTTTCTAGTGCAGTATTCCTGCCAATGCCCTTTACAGGCAGGCCTGGTTAACTGCACTTACATCGATCTGCAGTCTTCTGCTTCTATATGGCGAGGCAGGTGTTTTCTCAGTAGCTATCTGAGAGCTCTTTTCCTCAGATACTTTTGGCAAATTCTTCATCTCCTTCCCATTTTAGCCTTCCCCTGGAAGAGACAGAGTGTTCAGTAGAAGACTTTGATGAAGTCTGGGGACTCCTCTAGCTCAGCAGTAAATCCTCAGCCACTTCAATGCTTCAGCTGTTGATCAGGGCTCAGCCATCAGCATCAAAAGGCACAAGTGCTTGCATTCAGCTCCCCATGCTGGCAGTGCCCCTGCCTCAGTCATTTTTCTTTACCCTTGGTTCTGTTCTTTCTTGTCCGCCTGCTGCAGCACCAAACCAGCAAGCCTCAGATTAGTCAGTGTGGGAAGGAGCGTGGGTTGTGTGGGACTGATTCTTCAAGCTACTGCATTGAATGGTTCTTACTGCCCACAATGTTTCAAGGAAGGGCTTAACACCAGTCTCCTTTTCCTACCTCAGTCCCTGCAAGATTTCTTTTCCAGAGATCCCCTACAGACTCCCTTTCCAGAGACAGATCCTTTCAAGCTGCAAGTGATCCACCACCTGAATAGCTTGTTTGAATCAGAAGATGATCATCTCAAGCATGCCTTCCCTCCTTCCTAAATGCTTTAAGATTCCTGCTCCATTCAATCTCTACTCACTTCACATTGTTTTCAGCCAATTGTCCACAAATCTAAACCATGCTCTTAGTCATGGTTTCTCCTTGCCTCCTTAGATAGCTTCTATTTCCCCTTTCATCCTAGTCTAAGCACCAAGGATAGGACACTACTTCTCCCTTTCAGGACTCTCAATGCCAGCGCCATAAACCCCATCCCCAAAGAACCAAACTGAGGATTCTCTTTGCTGTAACAGGCATCTGCTCCAGTCCTCAGCTGATGAAAGGGAATTTTCTTCCTGCTCTGAGTACTCTGAATCACAGAATGCATTGAAATTTAGTTTGAATTGATCTATTCCAATATGAAGATAGTCAAATCAACCAATCAATATCTCACTACCCAGGATGCCCTCAAGATGAGGTGTAGGAAAAAGCAGAACTGTTTTCACATGTCAGAATCTCATAAGTCTACTATTTTGAGTGATCCAACCATGACAAGTAGAGTTCCATCAATAAACATCTCTACGAAACTGTACCAAGTCACATCTAATATTGCCACCAGGTTTTTTTTCTGTCTTGACCATTGACTTGTCTTAGTCAGGATCATTCTCAAGCAAAAAGATTTTTCTTCCAGCTAATGAGTAGATTCTCCAAAGAACTTTGTGGACCACAGGATTACATTTTTTTTGAAAGAGGCTTTGAATCGTCTTCCATTCGTTCA